GGTATGTCAATTTGCTCGATTTTTTCTTTTCTTCTATTGCTCAATTCACAGCGCGAATTATGTATATCATATATTTTCATACACTATTTATAATGAGAAATGTCTGTGTGTACTAGCCTAAAACATAGTCTGTCATACATATTAAATATTAAAATGCACCCATGGCTATGAATGTTTAGCTCCACGGTTAAGAGGATTTAGCTTTAAATATATTTCATTTATTAATGTAGCATATTATTCATCACGCAGAATGTTGTGTATAAATATATTCCTATTATCCTATAGCAACCCAGTGTGGATTGTTGTCTGCATATATTAACTGAGTTACCAGCAGTTACAAGGTATGATGGTCAGACTGTAAAAATATACCTCTGAGATATGTCCATTGTTAGCACAATATGAAATAATCCTACTGGCCTTCATGTATTCACCATTTCACCTGGCTGTGTCACCACCACATTTCAGGATTTTTGATAATGCACCAGTCAGTGGAATGCCCCGCACCCCCCTACCTGGGGAATAGCGGGGAATTATTGAGAGATTGAACCTTATATTCGACCATGCTACACAGGGATTTAGACTGTATTAGTTATATTATCAGGTACCGGGGACTTTGGCAGGACTTATATCGGGGATTAGACATAGCCGCCATCTTGAAAACGAAAAAGGACTGGGAATGAGCAATGAAAGCGAGCTGATAATTTTGTGAACGAACTGACAATCTCTTGTGTTATTAGGTCACCGTTTTATTTTCTTGAAAGTTATTGTAAACCATTTAGATGTTCTATTTTTTTAAGCATTCAGTATGGACCATAGATATGACTTAAATTTTAAGTAAAAAGGGAAAGGCCAGTTTTTAGGGCCCCCGAACAATGAGCAAAACTAAATCGAACTGAAAAGAATCCAGAAATTAAGTACGAATAAGGTAGTATTTATCAAATAGGTCTATTTCCTTTAGACGGATATTCTTTGTAGATATTGTATGGTGGGCCCGGAGAGCAGGGACATTATTTGTGTTTAGGCAAGTGGGAGTGGCCATATAGCGGAGAGTGAAATAGAGCAAGGTTTTGGTCTAATGTCCCGCTGTTCCCCAGGTAGGGGGGTGCGGGGTATTCCACTGACTGGTGCATAATGCTCACAATTTCTTTCTTATATAGTTTTGCAGTTCTGAGTGTGTACTATCTTAGTCTTTACAAATGAATGGTGCCATCTGAAGCTGACATTTTAAACAAATGTGTCGACAAATATAGATTTTGTCTCCCATCAGCAGATTGTTCAGTTGTTCTACAATAGAGGTAGCTTGGAAGGTGCCATTAAAACAATAATTGGGAAAAAACTGTCTTAGTATTTCTATATATGAAATTGTTATTAAATTCTATGTGTCCAATGATTCATTCAAGTATTATTATTGTTTATACGTACATATGGTATTATAACTATTATTGTTCAGTATTGAGTGGCAAGCTAGCCATGGTAACTGGTCATGGTATGCTAATAGACCTGCAATGCAAATCATTAAAAACCATAGCATGACCTAGCTGTTACTATGGCTAGCTTCACCAGTGCTGACAGTAATTATAATTATACATACAAAAACAAGAAGTTATAAGCATTGAAGGAATTCATATAAATTTGGCATGCCAAGAAAGTAGAATTAGAATATTTAGCTGACCTTTGACTTTGTGCAAGGTGTTTGGTATTCAAATTGCACTTTCCCTACCTCCTGAACAGGCATCTTATGCTAAGAGACTGTTTACATGATGGAATGTGGGATGATTTTGATGTATTGAAATACGTCCATAGGCTAAACGAAAGTCCAAATGCTGGTTAACAAAACTCAAATGTTGTAGAGCAGATCTTGTAGTTCAAGAAGATTGATTATTATTGCTGCTTGAACAACCTTTCAGTTTACAGATAACTACTGTTATCTCTCGAAAATAATGAAGTTTTTTGCTGAAGTGTACACCGTGACTTATTTAAATACATCTAAATCATCCCGCCTCATATATCATCCTGGCAAAGCGGGATCATAAAAACAGCCCCTTATTCAGCAAATTGTGCATGCTGCCTTTGAGCCCTTGGGGGTGAGGCAGCACTTTCCTTGCGATAGTAACTTCTAGTATAAATGTTGATCGGTGTTTCCACTTAAATACTTAAAATTTTAAGTGTTTTCGTGAATCAAAATTTCCTCATTTGTCTAAGCTACGACAGTTTCAACCTGTTTTATTACTTTGTTGTGTAAAGTTTTCCTTAAATTTTGCTTCTTTTACTCTTCTACATTCTGCCAGCCCCCCCCCCCCACGCTTGTGGGCCACCGGGGTTGAACGATTGCAAGAACTTTAATATCTTCGGTTCAGTGCATGCAATGAAGACAGAAATAGCACCATTCGATTCAGAAATAAAGGATTCAACTAATTCCTCCCTATAGTTATAGTCATTATCAACATTGTGACGATTTATGGGCCTTTGAAGTCAAAAACGATCATATTGTATCAAATTACGCAATTGTCTGAACAAAAATATAGACTAGCCGTACCTTTCACCGAAAATAACTTCGGCCCCTTCGAACATATCGTCTTTGTAATAGCCTTGTTAAAATTCCCATTAAAAACACTACTCAGAGTGTTATTTGCAAGCCTGTATATTCAAATCTGTATCTTTTATCAATATATTTCCATTTCTTGCCCGACTGTGAGCTCGAAGTGAGTTAATCCCAACCGGAAATACGACTGAAAACCGTCAAAACAATGCGAAGCTTGTATCGTATGACCCACCAAAGGCCAGAAATGATTCGCAAGGTCAAATGTCACCTACACGCGTCAGTTTGACGTCATCCCGGCTACAGGAGTTTCTTATTGGCCAATTATTGCGCAATGTACGCAAGTGCGAGTAAAACCCGACATCTTGAAAAATTCAAAATAAATATTTCTACTCGCCGTATTCAAACAAAATTTTGTACACGAAAGGGCTTGAATACAAAGAGCATTTTACACATAAAGCCGTTCCGCAAATGACGAAATGTTCAAGAGATATTCAAGATCTTGTGCATATGATATTTAGAATCTTTGGTCAAGCGGTGAGTAAATATATGATTGTTTCAGTTTGTGTAATATTCAGACGGCACTTGACCCCCCGTATTTTGTGAGGATTACAATGGTGGTATGTATTTATAAGGGGGTAAATACTCGCCGAGATATTTATATTAGAAAAATTGTGTCGTAATATGATGCGAAAGGGGGTGGTCGTATTAGCCACTGCACGTGACATGATTTGACAATAAGCTTATGAATTTTTAATGAGTGGTTGAAAACCATATAAAAATACTGAAGGTTCATTGAAAACATAGTCTATCATCTGAAATGCGTCATCTGGTTAATTTATTGACGTGCCAATTGCCAAAATAATAATGTGGATTTGATACATTATTGTTTGTCTTTCGCAGCAACTCACTTTTGATATACTCAACATAAACATCGTAATGCATTGTGTTAACATTTCCGTGAAGTGTCGGAAATAAAGTATGTAGTCGCAACACTATGCACAAATCACAAGCTTTTTGTAGTTTTATTAAAAAGTATATTCGCAATCACACGCCCAGTTTGGCTCTCGAGTCTCAATCCCTCACTGTCTCGCACTCACATCACATCACACACACACTCTAACTCTGTCAATTTATATATATATATATATATATATATATATATATATATATATATATATATATATATATATATATATATATATATATCACGGATTATATCTCTGGCATGCAAATAATGTCTCTATCTCTAATCAATGTCGTCATGGTTACATAATTAACTAAGAACTAACGAAAATATTTAACACACTCCCCCACATTTGTCTCTAATGAGACAAATGTTCTAAAATTCTAATATATTTCGTGTCCACGATTATACCTAGCTATTACCTATATGAAAAAAATACCAATGTTTTAGATAAGAGAGTCTGAATGGGGTTAACTGACTACTGACATTTGCCTGAATATTTGACTGACAACTGACAAAATGTCCTAACTGACAACTGAGAAATAATGAAAAAACCATGGGTCAGCTTTTTTGCAGTAACTGACTACTGACAGCTTGCAATATATCGCCCTGACAACTGACAACTGGCTTAAATTTTAGCTGACAACTGACACCCATAGACCCCCATTAAGACCCTCAGATAACTAAACTATACGATTAAAATGTTTCTAAACAATCAGTCCTATATGAATAATATAAAAAATCATTGTATCTTATCTGTCAATGTTTGTCAATGTTAGTCTTCTTCTTTTTCGATCTCAACTGCAGTGATTCGATCTTAGGCTTCAACGGCAGCTTGTCGCTTCGGTCTTGGTTGGAATTCAGGTGCTTGCACGTTTAGCTTCGCTGGCGTGGCTTGTTCTGTGACTTCCGTCTTGTCACACGACAATTCTAGCGGAAAAAGATGTTGAACCGCTCTTTCTACTACCGACTTTCCTGTTCGTACTTTCGCGCCTCGTACAACATTATCGATCCCAACTATCACCGTTTCGACTACTCCTAACTTCCACTTTCCACGGTTTCTCTCGTCCGATTTGATAATCACGACTTCGCCGACCTTCGGTGTACTTGATTTGCTGCCATGTTGCTGGTTGTGACGTTCACGTAGCCCTCTCAGGTACTCGTTTTTCCATCTACGCCATACGGCTTCCTTGCAGCGTCGTAGATGTTTGGCTTGCTTACGATGGTCTTTGGATTCCACTCGATGAGGTTCTAACTCGGGTAAGACATTGGAACGTCCATATAAAAGGGAGTTGGGGGTTAGGATGGGGAACTGTATATCGTCCTCGACATAGCTAAGGGGACGGTTGTTGAGGGTCACTTCTACGTCCAATATCACGTCTCGTAACTCTTTCAGCGACAAAAAACCATTTCCAATGGTTTTGTACAGAGACTGCTTGATAAGGCCAATCATTCTTTCGAATTGGCCGCCCCACCATGGAGCCCGACTCAAATTAAATTGCCACTTGATTTCTTCTTTCGCCAACAAGTTTCCAACGCGCTCATCCTTCATCACAGTTCGGAGCCATTTAGCTGCAGCAACAAACGTTCCACCATTGTCGGAATATATCTTTCTTGGGCGACCACGACGTGCTATCAGTCGCCTTAAACTTCCTAGAAATTCTGTCGTCTCCATCGTAGTCAGCACTTCAATGTACAGAGCTCGTGTTAGGCTGCATGCGTAGACTATCAGGTAGGCTTTCCCTTCTTGATTCTTGGACTTTCGATACTTGAGTGGACCTGCGAAGTCCACTCCTACTACTTCAAATGCTTCGGAGCCTTCAGTTCGATCGGTTGGTAGCTTGCCTGGTGGTGGAGCTGCAAACGCTTTCGCTTGAAACCGATAGCATCCGTTGCACGACTTGAGTACCTTTCTCGCCAATCTTCTCAGCCGAGGCACCCAATATGAATCTCTAACTTGTGTCATTGTGGCTCCGATCCCTCCGTGCATCGTTTTCAGGTGCGCTTCGCTCACGATCTTCGCGGTAAATTCATGGGAATCAGGTAAATAAATTGGATACTGTCCCTGGATTCGGCCACGACACTCGAGTACTCCTGCGTCATTAGGTTGGAGGTTTAACTGCATCCGATCTCTTTCTAATTCTTCTAGTTTAGTTTAGTTTAATGAAATATGTCACATTACATTACATTGCGAATTACAAATTACAAATAAATACAGGACTTGCATGCAACACCTAAACTAACAATGACACAAAGACGGAGTGACAGGAGAGGAAAACAGGACTAACGTCCCAATTGACAATCCTCCCCCTTTATATACTACAAAAATATAAAATACCTTGTGAACACAATACACAAGAGTATAGTTTACGGTGGACAATACAAAGCTAGCTTATTTCTGTAATAACGAAGAAGGAGGTTTTTGAATTCGGTAAGACTGGATGCATGTTTTATGGAATGAGGGAGCTCATTCCATATCTTAACTGTCCTAGGGAAATATGAATTTATAAAGTAATTCTGGCGATGGGATGAATAAAAGCGATAATTTGCTTCATCAAAGTTTCGCGTAGCATACCCAGACGAGGCTGGTTGTAATAAGTTCTGGAGGTTAGCGTTAATAAGACGAGTCTTAGACTTAAAAAGGAGAATTAGATCTATTGTTTCTCTGCGATGTTCCAATGGGAGTATGCTCAACATGGCTAATCTTTCCGTATAGTTTACATTGCTTGGGTAGTCCAAAATAAACTTTGTGGCACGACGCTGTATATTTTCGATAAGTTTCTTGTGCTTTACTGTGTATGGTGACCATGGACTACTCGCGTACTCTAGTAGAGGTCTAACTAATGACACGTATAGGAGCAGTCTAATGGAACGGTCGTGGAAGTCTTTGGAGACACGCTTTACTAGGCCAAGAGTTTTGTTTGCCTTAGCACACATCTGTTCAATGTGTGCCCCCATGATAAATCTCTTGTAACAGTGACACCAAGATCTCGT